AGCTACGCTATTCACGTTGCTGAATTTGCGTATCTTAAACCGACTCCCCGCTGTAGTGTAGATGTACCCTAATAAGTCTTAAGCTCCTGATTATCAGGACTAGAAGAACCTACAAGCTCCAGGAAGCTGGAGGAGGAAGAAAACAAGCAGCCTGTATGCTTCAAATCAGCAGCCCACTCCTGCTCCCACAGCAGTCAATGTTTCCTCTCCCCCTCCCCGACTTCAATAGCACCAGATGCAATACACACTCACATTTAAGAAAAGCGAAGAGAAATTTTAAAGAGTCAGCACCTGTACACTCTATTTTTATTACAAACCCTAAGGAGCATATAACTCAAAAACATTCTTATCTTTGACACATTTCCAATTGCCAATACACGATACACAAATCTGGCTTTCAAATTAGATTGACAATACGTAAGACAAATTCACAAAGTTACAAATATTTGTATATTATATTTTGTAGAAATATGTATCTAAATTGTCCATGAAGGAAAATACTTTGCAATTCCTTGATTTTGTCCATATCGCAAATTAACATTTTTTTGGTGCAAACCCCTGTGGTAGGGCCAGGTTCTGAGCAATTACATAGGGACAGTTTACTTTAACCAAAATAATAATCTTGGCAAGGGTCTAATCAATAATCTTGGCTCCTAACCACCTCCCATACAGGTTTACAGTCAATAAACAAACGAACAGCCCTACAAACAGAGCAGTTCATTTCCTTCCCACTGTGGTCAACAAAACAGCTTTCTCCTCCTGCTACAGGTGTATCGCAGACCCTCTTTAACATGCAGGGCCTAATGAGCTCCCAGCTGAGAGCAACCCCTAGACCTCTCTTTGAACCCTGCCTGAAAGTTAACTCAAAATAAATAAACCCATCACCAGACACATAAACTGTCAGGCTCAGAGTCTTCCTAAGGGCACTGTTGGGGCGAGATTACAGATCCATGGCACCAGCTCAGGGGTTTAAGTCCTGTACACGCACCAAAAAGTGGGTGTTAGAAATTATGATCAAAGAATTTATTTCAATAAGAAATTTGAAATAACATAATAGAAATAGTCCTTTTACTTATTTTACCAAAGTAAAGTTCATGGCAAAAAAAATCAAACACGTTATTTATCAAGTTTTTACATAAAATATTGTATTTACCTATTTTTAATGGTAGTTAAGTGTCCTTGCCATTTCTCTCCTGGAATGCTAAAAACAAAAAAATATATAATATAAAGAATGTTAGACTTCTGTGTCATCATTTTTGAACTACAGTACAGCCAAAAGATTTTTTTCAGGTCTGCATCTAGAAATAAAAATAATAACTGTTTACACTAAGGAGAAATTATATGAAGGCTCATCCGTTATACCTGCTTATGTGCAACATCCTGCATATGACTACGGCTGGGTCTACACTACCCGCCTGAATCGGCGGGTAGAAATCGACCTCTCGGGGATCGATTTATCGCGTCCCGTTAGGACGCGACAATCGATCCCCGAATCGACGCTCTTACTCCACCAGCGGAGGTGGGAGTAAGCGCCGTCAACAGGAAGCCGCAGAGGTCGATTTTGCCGCCATCCTCACAGCGGGGTAAGTCGACTGCGATACGTCGAATTCAGCTACGCTATTCACGTAGCTGAATTTGTGTATCTTAAATCGACCCCCCCCCCCCCCGTACGTGTAGATGTAGCCTACTTAAGCATTTATCCACAGTGGAACAGGCCTTGGGCCAGACAGAAAGAAAACAACTCTGCAGTCCAGTGGTTAAGGGATACCCCTCCAGGAGGTGGAAGATTTTGGTCCAGTCCCTCTGTTCCAATCACTTTTTCATGATTTATCTACAGTGGAACAGCTTCAACACGAGTGTGTGAGTTAGCCCTGCATCAGAATAGCTCAGGGGTTACAGCACTTTCCTGAGAAGCAGTTCTTCCCCCCCTCTGGCAGAGAGAGGGGAATTGAACTGGGTCTTCCATATCCCAGGCAAGTGTGCTAACCACTGAAATAAAAATTATAAAGTGGGCATGGGAACCAGCACCACTTCCTCTGGCCAGTTTGCATGTAGTGAGGCAGGTGCCTAATTTACTCCAACAAAAAATGGCGTAGGCACCTAAACCCACTAACTCCAGGTAGCTGGTTCCCATCCATGCATCACTAAGCAGATACAGGCACCTCCCTGCAGCCCAGATTTAAGAAGCTATCTCTGAGAGAGCTGAGTGGGGTTTAGCACACACCTCTGTCATTAGCATCTCCAATTGGCTAACCAGGGGTTTGTCTACACTGGCACTTTACAGTGCTGTAACTTTCTCACTCAGGGGTGTGAAAAAACACACTGCTGAGTGCAGCGCTGGGAGCTACGCCTCTCATGGAGGTGGGTTTTTTAGAGTGCTGAGAGAGCTCTCTCCCAGCGCTCTGCCGCGACTACAAAAGCCACGTTAAAGCGCTGCCGTGGCAACACCTTAACGTTGCCAGTGTAGATTAGCCCTCTATCCAGTGCTGGCTTTTGTGGATTGCACTTTTTAGGTGACCATCTCTCCCCATTCATTGTACAGGGAGCCTAAGCAAATAACTCGGCTTTGTGGATCACCATGTTGTTCCTGTGCCTAGACATTAGGCACAGTGACACTCAGCATTACAACGCCTAAGTCTCTTTATGGATCCCACACAAAGTCACTGCAACTTGACACTGCAATGCTTGCATTGTGACCTTTTGACACTGCATCATCACAGTGCCAACACACACATCACTACATTGCATTGGCCACAATGATATATGAGGTTCTTTAACTGTCTTGAAAGATACTGAAATTATTCTGGTGACCCTCTGAGCCAACACATATTAGAAGGAGTGAACCAGATTTTTTTTTTCCCATGGCATTTGCTATTTTCTTGTACCACAGAGGGAAACTGTCTCAATTTTGTACAATTTACCATTTCTCTCCCTTAGTATATCAGAGGAAATTCTGACACTCATCAACATTCAGTATTTGCTATCAAACACAACAAACCAAGGATGAGAACTGGTGAAGACAAAAATTCTGAGATGTGGGACTCATCGGAATATGCTACACCTATACCCTATATGAAAAATGCAAAATGAAAAGGTAAAAATTGTGATAGGAAATTCAGACCTGGCAAAACTTTCTATTTACAGTAGAAATAAAGAGATTATGGCAGTGCTTTTAAAAAAAAGGAAAAACAACAAAAAATGATAAAAGGTTTCAGGGATTTACACTGGCCTTTGGACTACTGTCTTAATGGATCACAGAGTCAATTCCCATTAATCAGTAACTGCTTTTGAAACAATAGTTACCTTTCAAACCATAGCTTTATGCTCTGCATAAGAGCTTCTCCAGGATATAGTTGATTTTCTCTCAGATACAAGAGGATTCCTAAGAGTTCACTTTTTAACTGATCGTCCTTCACACATTTGCCAGTATCAAAAAGGACCTGCAGCGTATCCAAGTTTGGTATCAAACCCTTAGCCAGCATTTCATGATACAGTTCACATGCCAAGTTTATTTCTTGGTTATTGAGGGCCCCTTTGATACAATCTCCATAGTTCCCTTTTGATGGGATCATGACTTTTTTTATCTCTTCCAGTAGCGACAAGGCCTCTCTCCATCGATTGGAACCACTCAGCCCCTTGATTAGAAGGCTGTAAGCCCCAGTTTCTAAAGTCTTAAATCTGACTTTCATTATATCATAGACATCATAAACTTCGGCCATCTGTTCCTGCCGGACACACAGAGCCAGGTACTTGACCAATAAATTATAACTGATGTCACCTTTTCTCATTGCCACCATAGACAGCAAGGACTTGGCCACATCTATGGAGCTGTTGCATTTGATCATTTGCTCTAGCATTACTTCTTCAAACTTGCTAATTCTCTTAAATTCTCCCCTCAGCTCTTCCCATTCCGCCACACTCAAAGGTTTTTCTGGGGGCCGGATACCATTCTTTTTAGATATCATGAGCAGTTCCTCTTGGTTCTTTGATCTCCTCTTGGCAGCTCCAGCAGAGAACAGGGAAAAAGGATGAGGAGAAGAGGTGTCTTCTCTGGCCCTGCCCTCCTTTTCCTCTCCATCTCTACCTTTAGATCTGGTCTTAGTAGTTAGCATATGAGTTGCTTTGGGATCCACTGGTATTGCGGATTGAGAAGTGGTAGTAAAAGGGAAACATTTAACATGTTTCCTGTTCGGGAGATGGAAGATGACAGCAAACAGCTGTTGGCGCCTTGGAACAGGCCAAAACATGGGGTATTTCCACAAAGTCTGCAAACCCGAGAAGCTAGTGGGACGGAAGAAAGCCATGATGAGGAGAATGCATATACTGGGAACACTCCCCAAGAGAGATCTAGTGGGAAGTGAAGTTTGTGTGAGGAAGTTTATAGTAAAAGTCTTAAGGGATGTCAAGCTGTGAATGTTTTGGAATAAAGGTCACAAGGGTGCTTTTAAGACTCTCATTAAAACAAAAATAGCAAAATCCTTCATCACCAAAAGAAGAAATATTTCAAACTACCAAACTATTAATACAAAGAGTGAGGGGGCATCTCTCTTCCCAGGAAAGAGGCTTGGCGGTTCTGTACTTTATTGTGCCTGCCCAACCTCTGAGGCTGTTTAAGGTTTATCATAAATATATGCTATAAAAATGGGGAGAAGTTATGTGAACTTCCTAAGAACTAAGAGTTGTTCTGTCGCTTTCATCCAAATCAGGTCAGGAAATTACCTACAGAAAACAGACCACAAACAATACACAATTAGTACTTACACCTCCAGAGTACTAACTTCAACATTACAATTCAGTTTACATTTTTACAACCAAAAAAGTGACCTACCTAACCTATCTTAGGTCTGGCACCCAAAATTTGCTCACCTAAAAGCCAGTGATAAACTGCCAATATTTTAACATGGGACTTCTACCAAAGCTCCCTTATCACTTATAGCTTGTGATAAACATCCGGGAAGGCAGGCATTCACATGCTGCAAACATATAGGACTATTAATTTTCTCACCATTTAAACAAAACCTGCTTTCCCAGTGATAACCATAGCTCAGGAATCAGGGGGTAGCCGTGTTAGTCTGTATCTAAAACAACAAGGAGTCTGGTGGCACCTTAAAGACTAACAGATTTATTTGGGCATAAGCTTTCGTGAGTAAAAACCTCACTTTTTCGGATGCATAGAGTGAAAGTTACAGATGCAGGCATTATATACTGACACATGGAGAGCAGGGAGTTACTTCGCAAGTGGAGAACCATTGTTGACAGGGCCAATTCAGTCAGGGTGGATGTAGTCCACTCCCAATAATAGATGAGGAGGTGTCAATTCCAGGAGAGGAAAAGCTGCTTCTGTAATGAGCCAGCCAACACCATTTTGCAAGCAAGTTTTTAATATGGGCACCTCCCAGTAAGCTATTATTTCCTAAAAAGTACACAAAGGATAGTGATAGCTGGGATCCAGCCAGTGTAATCATAAGAGAAGGGGTGTGTTTGCCAGAAGCTAGGAATGGGCAACAGGGGATGGATCACTTGATGAATACCTGTACTGTTCATTCCCTCTGAAGCACCTGGCATTGGCCACTGTTGGAAGACAGAATACTGGGCTAGACGGACCATCAGTTTGACCCATTACAGCCATTCTTATGTTATGTTCTTACGTGTTTGGAGGAGGCAGAAAGGATCCTTGTGAGAGGACCTTTGTTGCCAGCTCTTGTGATTTTTAATCACAAGTTTCACAGTATTTGGTCTATTTCTTAAAGCCCCCGCTGCTGAAGGGGTATAATTAGGCAAGAGATTCAGCTTTCACTTTTAAAAAAAGTTTCTAGCCAGCACGATTATAGAGACTAACTGGAAAACGTGAAGCCTGGGCACCAGAAGACAAACAATCAACAGGTATAATTAACTCCAGTAGCTCTGTATCAGAGGGGTAGCCGTGTTAGTCTGAATCTGTAAAAAGCAACAGAGGGTCCTGTGGCACCTTTGAGACTAACAGAAGTACTGAGAGCATACGCTTTCGTGGGTAAGAACCTCACTTCTTCAGACGCTCCCAGTACTTCTGTTAGTCTCAAAGGTGCCACAGGACCCTCTGTTGCTTTTTCCAGTAGCTCTGCACGTTTTCAATCTCACGGTATCTGGGCCTGACTAGTGATGTCTGCGTGCTTGGGCCTATGGTAATAGTGCAACGTCCACGTCCTCTCCACAGACCTGGGAGACAATCGCTGCCAGTCGGGACGTGCTCCCTGGGCCGCTCAGAGACGCTGCGATCCCCTCGCACAAGCTGAGCCGGCTCATTCAGAACGGCCGGCCGGAGTCGCGGCGGCGAGGCGAGGGTTCGCTGCAGCGCACGGTGACTACTGCCCGTGCCCTGGTGACTACTGCCCGCACGCTGAAAACTACAACTCCCAGCATGCAATGCAACCCGGCCGCTTATACAGGGCGCGCAACACGTACTGCGGGATGTAGTCGCTGTGGTCCAATTGCGGGCCATGCCTTTGCTGCCTTCCCCATGCGGACCTGTCTCAGGCGATGCGCTGCAGGTGTCAGTATCGCAGCGCTGAGCGGCTCTGGTGGATGCCACTCATAGCCGAAGGGGGCGGGTCAAGTAATGGCGGAGCCGCGCCGGACAGTCGCTCTACCTAAGGAAGAACTTTTCCTCTGAACTTGCTCTCTGTCACGCGCGCCGAACGGTCCCTCCGCCAATCAGGGCTCTGCATGAGGCTCGCCACAGTCCAGACTGCCGGCTCGTGTTACGCATGTGATCACAGGGATCCAATGAGAACAGAGCACAGTAAAGCGGCCTTAGTTGGCCGTGGCCGCCATATTGGTTACGGGCAGGGTATCAGCGCCAACAGCTTTAGTCGGCCGGAGACGTACGAGGTGTATGGGACCGGTCGCAGGCGCCGGAAGTAATTGCAGGGCCCTTAGCAGCTTCTTACCCGCACCTAGCGTGGTGGTTACGTGATGGAGGAACAGTAACCCGGATGTGTGGCCGTTGGGGCGGGCGTTGCGGGGCATGGAGTGGAAGCAGGCGTTGCGGGGCCGGCTGGCCGCCTGCACCGGCCGTGAGTGCGCGGGGAACATGGAGCGAGCGGGAAGCGGGGAGCAGAGGCTGCGGGGTCCCACAGAGAGCGGGCGGGAGAGTCTCTGGCTCTGCCCTAGGCTCGATCCAGCGCGGAGCTAAGGGGCTGTGCTGACAGCCCGGCCCGGCCCTGCCCTGGAACCAGGCGGTCCCAAGCTGGCTCTGTTCGGGCCCTCAGTGCAGTGAGCGAGCAGACGGGCGTCCCTGTCACAAACCACCACCGTAGTGGGTGTCTGACCCGCCCCGGTAGGCTGCCTCAGCGGGGGTAGGGGTAAAGCCTGAACGGGCCCTGGAGCCCGATCCCTGCAGATCGGGGTGAGGTCACACAGGTCTCGTTTAGGGTGTGGTATTAGCTAACACGTGCTATTTACCACCTCCGAAGGTCTAGTGTAGCCTCGCTGGAGCTCTCTGTGCTCATGAGGGCCCTCAGATGCCTCCAGGACTGCGAGGCCCACACCTGGAACTAGAGCTAAGATCTCTCTCAAATCACATTTCAGCTCTTTGCGTTTAAAAAAAGACCCCTCGTCTTTCCCACATAAAACATTCCTGCTGAAAATGATGCAACCCGTAGGATGTTTTACGTTACATGTGAGTGACAGAGCATGCCAGATTTCAAGTCCAAGTGCTGGGTCTGCATCGTATGCTGGTAATGTTTTCTTTCCCTCACCACTACGATATATTGTTAAAGTGTGCACAGTGAAATCGATACCATATCATTGCATGATACAAGTTAAAGAAATGATTTTCAAAAAAAACACTTGCCCCCAAGTAGAAAGTAGCTTCAACTATTGTATGAATCCTAGGAACAACAACTTGCAGGCTTGTACAGCCACAGAATCGGTTTTAGAACAATAGTGACAAACCTTTGTTTATATCAAGGACCTCAGTTTGGTTGGCATCTTTGATAGACAAGGAGATATGCCTATCTAATGCATTCAGGCACATATACCCAGCCCCTTACTGTGGTATCTTAGTGCCTAATTAGTATACACTTCTATCCCGATATAACACAACCCAATATAATATGAATTCGTATATAACGCGGTAAAGCAGCGCTCGTGGGGGGCTGCGCACTCCGGCAGATCAAAGCAAGTTCAATATAACGCGGTTTCACCTATAACACAGTAAGATTTTTTGGCTCCCGAGGACAGCGTTATATCAGGGTAGAGATATATTTGCATACCTTTTGTATGAAGAATAAACGCAAATAAACGTGTAGTAATTTGTACTTTTATTTAGTTGTGACTGAATAAAATGTGCTTTTTATTTCTCATTCACATTACTGAGGACATTGGTATTCTTACAGTTTTCTTCAAAGATTTTACCACTTTATTAGCAATTACTTAGACATGTCTGGAGATAGTTTCTGACACTTCGAACTTTGCTTATAATACTGCATGGGAATGGACTGGAGCCCCCTTAGTTCTACCCAAAAGAAATACAGGTGTAATGTACAGCAATAATTTATCTTCAATGAATGATCTGAAGAGAGAGGGAGAAATAGTCCTAGCCCAAAAGACAAGTGGGTGTTGAAGCCAAGTTTTTCATGATAGTTAATCTATAATTTCTACAGATAGTAAATGCAAAAATTATAGATTAAATTAATATAAGTATGTTTTAGCAACTGCTAAGCTTTCATTAGTCTTTAGTTAGATATGTGCAGAAAGTTATGCTAAATGCAAATGCAGAATGTGCACTCTTCCTGTGAGGGGAAAAAACCACAGGAACCTTGACTTTCACATTATGATGAAACAAACAGGATCTTTCTTCCAAGGGTTTACAGTAGTATGCAGGAATCATAGTCCTGAAACCCTAAGGAACTTGTGCATCTGCAGGGAAATTGTGGGAACCTGCACCGACTTTCCCTCATCCAATAGTAGTGCTACTCTTGAGGGAGTCATGTTGCCACAGAAACCTCCCTTGTGAATGCACATTAAGACTCTGAGGTGACTTAGTGCTTGTAGCAGAATTACATTTAAAAAAATAGCACCAGAGAACTTGCTGCTCCCTGCCTTTTCCAGCCACAGCCCTGCCCTCCTTCACTCAAAGCTTTCTGACCACACGGTGTTAGCAGAGAGGGTCTTCTGCAAGCCTTTGGGGAGCAGACAAACATGATGTACGTCTGCTGTTTTCCAGGCATTTATGCCTTTTACTTTATGCCCTCTGCGGATTATACAGATTATAGTGACATTGGTTGTTTAAAAATGCAATTATATAAAAGCAAAATGGATTTCCTTTAACCCAACACTTTGTTAAAATCAGTCTACCTGGGGGTAAAATGTAAGATATTCTGTTCTGTGTTAAGCAGCTAAAAAAAGTGAACAAGAGCTAAAGGATGAAGAAATGGAGTTGTTTACAAAATACTACATGGAATGGAAAGGAGGAAGAAAAAGCGTTAATACATCCTACATGAATATACCACGGTTTTATTACAGGGTAAGTGGTATATCCAGAGCTACTTAAACCTAAGAATATACCACTCAAAGCAGAAAATCTTTATCTCTTTAATACTGGCATTTTAGTAGCAAAAGCTACATTGGGTCAGAATTTGAGAGAGTTGTGTTGTGAGTGTTTTTCCCTTCTAGTTGTGGATTTAATGAATCTCATACAGCTGCTGAGGAGGATCTGATTAAGCCATGAAATAGTTTGCTAATGCTGTAGCTAATTGGTTAATCGGGTTAGCCATTGAGCAACATAAAATATATATTTTCTCTGTTTTCAAAACTTGAAAGCCCACTTCCCATCTTTTCCAACCTTTACATGCAATTCATGACCCTGGAATGCCAGTATCGTGAAGTCCCTACCCTGTTTCCTGAGCATTTTTACAATAAAAATAGAATGCTCTGTCCTAGACCTTTAAATAATCAGTAAAAATTATTTTTGTCTACTTTTTCACATGTGTATCCATTATATAAAATAGTATTTTCCTAAACACAGCATGCTGAGGATTGAAGATGCTCCTACTGAAATATAGATTGCCCTGACATCCCATACATTCTCAGGTTCTAGTAAAATCCATGGCACACAGCTGAGTGTACTGTTTGGCAAAAGTACTTAATGAAGCAGCAATATGAAATTTACACATTGAAAATGCTTATAAATTCACAGGAACTGTATTAAGGATTTTAGGTTACATTGACCAGGATATTGTTCAGTGTCAGATGTTTGGCAAGAGTTGTACCATGCAAAAAATATGAAAAGGTATTTTTATGCATCAATCAAAGTTGGGCTATAAACCAAGAAGTAATAGGAGACAGTGACTTGAGACATTTTGCAGTTATTTGTCTTTCATGAGATCAGAAACTAAGATCTTGCAGTGGTTTTGGCTCCATAGCGAACATAATTCCAGTTCATATTACAAAGTTTATAATATCACTATGGAAATATTTAGGCCATATATAATAGACGATAAAAACATACTCCTTCCTTCCGTCCTATTTTTTTTGGTAGATTGCATATTGTTACAGATTAGACTGTAAACTCTTTGTAAGACAGAGACTTGTATTCTGATATGCTTGTAGAGCACCTACCAAAACAGGACCCTGATCCTGATTGGGGATTAAGGAATGCAATACAAATAATAACATTGTAATATTTTTAGCTACCAGCTGAGGATGAAGTCTTACTGCAGAAATTAAGAGAAGAATCTAGAGCAGTTTTTCTACAGAGAAAAAGTAGAGAGCTGTTAGATAATGAAGAGCTGCAGGTAAGAAGGCACTAAGAATGTATCATTTTTTAATCTAACCATCAGAGGAGTGAAGTTCTGGAACAGCCTTCCAAGGGGAGCAGTGGGGGCAAGAACACTAACTGGCTTCAAGACTCAGCTTGATAAGTTTATGGAGGGGATGGTCTGATGAGACTGCCTACAATTGCATGTAGCTGGTCTACGATTACGAGCAGCAAATATCTTCAATGGCTGGTGATGGGACAGAAGATGAGGAAGGCTCTGAGTTACTATAGAGCAGGGGTCGGCAACGTTCAGCTCACCAGGGTAAGC